ATCTGAGAGTGGGGACAAGGGAGCCCCGACAGTGCGTGCAGGCTGCACTCCACAGGCCAATGCAACATCCCAGACCATGCTGGCCACCCCCATGGGCTCGGGATGCAGCGTTCCCCCAGGCACTGTACACAGGGCCCCAGCCTCACCTCACCTTGCCTAGGGCTGGCTCCTGGTCCCCCAGCCCAACAATGAGGATGCAGTCAGCTTGACGGATGCAGCGCACAGTCCAGGGTGTCAGCGTGCAGTCGGTCTGATACAGCACAATGCGGTGGATGTCCTCCTGCTGCGCCAGCCAGCCCGACAGCCGGTACTCTTGGATGCTGCCAGGGAGGGGATGTCAGCAGCAGGGGTGGCTCCAGGCACCAGCGCACCAAGCGTGTGCCTGGGGTGGCAAGCCGCGGGGGGCGGCCTGCCGGTCACTGTGAGGGCGGCAGTCAGGCTGCCTTCGGCGGCATGCCTGTGGGAGGTCCGCCGGTCCCACGGCTTCAGCAGCAATCCGGCGGTGGGTACGCCGAAGGCGCGGGACTGGAGGACCTCCCACAGGCATGCCACCGAATCCGCGTTACCAGTGGACCTCCTGCAGGCGTGCCACCGAAGGCTGCCTCACTGCCGAGCTTGGGGCAGCAAAATACATAGAGCCGCCCCTGGTCAGCAGGCAGCCTCCAGCTCTGTCCTGTCCCACCCCATTGCTTCAATCCCTACTTCTGGCCCTCCTCCGAGCTCCCACCATGCAGCCCCTCCTTCACTCTACCAGATTCCCGGATCCCAATGGGGACCCTTCCCCCAAGGTCCCCATATGCAGTTCCCCAGCTGCATGCTCGGACAAAGTGGAAGGTTTTTTGTAATATTTTTATGAAGCCTATGTATATCTCAGTTTCCCTTATATGCTGCATTGTTACCTAGTGGGGTGTGAGGAAGGTCTGTTTGCTTTCTGGCCAGGCTAAAAAACACAGGTGTGAACAGCTCCTAGCTCTCTGGGGCTTTAGCTCTTGAGAAGACAATGGGAAATCCAGTTGCCCAGACACGGATCAACGACCCAGAGAGATGGACTTCCCCTCTCAGCGGGGGGCTGAGCCGCATCTCCCCAGTTCGGGAACAGAGAACTGGGGGAGGGAAGATGGGGGTGTTAAGTGTGGGCTGTGGGAATCAGTTGGGGGCACACCTGAACTGGGACAGAGCGATCAGAGACAGAGCTCTGGGCTCTGTGCTGACCAGGATGGACTCTGCTGTAAACTTCCTTTTCTCTGCGCTAGCCAAGGACTTCCTTTGCTATTTTCCAGCCAACTAATAATTCTTCGTGTGACAGCGCTGCCTGGGTGTCCCTGCGGATGCTGGTGGAGGAGGAGCATTGCTCCCTAAGATTGTACAAATCTCCCTCAGGGATCTGCCTCAGTTGGACTTGCTGAGTGGAGCTCCTAGTGTCAAGCAGGGGTGCTGAAGGCCCAGAGGTCCAGCCTAAGGAGGCAGTGAAACTGTGGGGCTTTGTCCTGGAGGAAGAATGAGACCCCTAGGGGGTCTGGCTCACTGAAGGGGTTTCTCCCAGGACTGTTCCAAAGCTGGGGCCATAGCACCGATCCTGGAGACCCATGCCACACCCTTTCCAACAGGGATCCTCTGCTACCCGCCAGCAACCAGGAGGACACCCTGCTCCAATCTCCTAACGAGCAGCCCCCCCAGCTATGTTCCCCACCACCACCACACCAGGACACTCACCACCCCCTTCCCATTGCTCCAGCCCATCTCCAATAAAGATCCCCTGCTGCACCCTCTCCTGGATAGGGCCCTGCTATCAGACAGCTAGACCCCACCCTCTGTGCCCCAATGACACAAGCCCCATAGCACAGCCCTGCAGGCCCCACATGGTGGGGGTGCCCTTTTATGGAGAACAAAGAGATCAGGGACTAGGAGCCAGCCCCTTCAGCCCACCTACCGCCTGTGCCAGTCCCCTACCTGTCCAGTGCTGAGGCACCAAGTCGTGCTCGGATGATGTCACTGGTCAGAAGCAGGGTGGGACCTGGAAGAGTGAACAGGACCATCACGCCGGGCCTGCATCCCAAGCATGGCTGGGAGCAGAGCGAGGCCCTGGCCCTCACTCACCTATGGCGTTGAGGGCATGCTCCAGCTCCAGCGTGAAGGCTGCCATGGGCACATCGTCACACACTGGCAGCACCGCCACCGTGGACAGGTTACTGGCTGGGTTGGTTAGCTCTGAGCTAGAGGCCACACCAAGACTGGAGCCTGTGGGCAAGACAGAGCGACTGACCGTCCGAGGGGCCCAGAGGGCAAGACAGCCACCAACCAAGAGTTCCCGACCAATGGCAGCTGAGAAGTCACTGCTTAGGGGGTAGGCAGTGTGTGGAGACCCCCTGACCCCTCCCCCCCAGGGGCCACAGGGATGTGCCGGCCGCTTCTGGGAGCAGCAAGGGGCCAGGGCAGGCAGGGAGCCTGCCTTAGCCCCACTGTGCCGCCGGACTTTTAGCAGCCTAAAATCTCCTGGTTAGGCTTCAGTGCCTCCAGGAGATAGAGCCCGATTCCAGGAGACTTCCGGCAAAACTGTGAGGGTTGGCAACCCTATCAACTGACCAACTGCAGGACCCGGCCTGGAGCTCTGCCCTGTGGCACCTAGCATCAGAGCTGGCGTGGCCCACGAGGAGAGGAGCCGGTTCCCACCCCAGCCAGGGAGCCTGGCTCTCAGCTCCAGCCATAGCAGCTCCTGCTTCTACCCCTGGAGCCCTGCTTTAATCCCCAGGGTGGGTCCGTCCCCAGCAGCTCTGCCAGTTGCTCCTCAGGTCTTGACTATGGCTGGGGGAGGAGAAGCAGGAAAACGCCAGCACTAATAGGGTTACCATTCGTCCGGATTCCCCCAGACATGTCCGGCTTTTTTGAGTTAAAAATAGCGTCCGGGGGGAATTTGTCAATGTCCGGACTTCCCCCCCCATGCAGAGCATGCGGGGCTTACAGGGCAGCCGGTCGGATCGTGCCACTCGCACGGGCTCCGGCAGCCAGAGCCCTTCCTTCACTTCCCCCTCCTCTCCCCTGCAACTTGAAACCAGTCCCCTCCTCTCTCTCCCTCCCTCCCCCTCCCACCCCTGCATTCGCAGATCGCCGGCCGGCCGTTCGCCTCGGGCCTCCGGCAGTCTGGAGCTCAGACCCTGCTCCCCTCCCCCACTGCCAAGCGCGCCGCTCTGCAGCACAGTAAGGGGGCCGGGGGTCAGAGAAGCGGCAGGGAGGTTCTGGGTGGAGGGGGGGGTAGTCAAGAGACAGGGAGCAGGGGGGAGGGTTGGATGGGTCAGCAGTTCGGGGGGGGGCTGTCTGGGGGTTGGGGGTGTAAGGTTTTGGGCAGTCAGGGTACAGGTGGGGGGGGGTCTCGAGGAGGGGGCAGT